AAACATTGAAAAGAAAGAGACTTATCCTGCACTTCAACAGCAAACAAATATAACAGATGTAGGAGAATCTAAATATTACTGTTACTGTTGAAAGCATTTCTGTTAGTGTTACATCGCCAGATATTGACGACGCAAATGACATCTTCCTTGAAGTAGTTCAAGCTCAAAATTCCAAGGGATCAAGCAGATGTAATTTTAAACCTCCTAGAATATTACAACTTTGTTGATCAGATTTTTGCCATATGCTGTGACACTACTGCTTCCAACTCTGGAGTATTTGCTGGAGTCATTACCATCACAAACATCATCAACATCCTGTTTCTCTGGTTTCCCTGCAAACGACACATTTTTGAGATAAACATCTCACATTTCATGGAGGATCTTACTGGTGAAAAAACAAAGGGACCCACAAGAGACTTTAGAAAACCTGGCAAGATGATGAACGAGAAAGAGAAAAAGACAGTAAAAACTGTAAGATTCTTTATTTCTATACCCTATGGACCCTGGTTCTTAAAATCATATATGGTTGACAAGTCGCCTTCAAATGACCTAGCTGCTATCAAGTCATCGTTTGAAATTAGGGACTACTATCCAAAACTTGGGCAGGTCCTTCTTGTCAGCATGCTGCGGTACGCTTGGTATTTAACAGAACAGTTAGTTATATTGTACTATATGATGTTGACGAGAAGGTAAAGACATAGATGTTGGAAAAGTTAGTCAAGTGTGATATGCCCAAGCAGTTTCATAAGGGGAAACCAAAGCTACCAGTTATCAACAGGTCAACTGAGCTATTTGAGCTGGTAGGTTCCCAGAGTTGGATCTTGTTTATGGTAGCAGTTATTTCTTTTGGAGAGGTGGAGAAGTGGCTCAAGGGAAATGCTAGTGAAATATTTGATCCATTTAAAAGGTTTTTGGAACCGATTGAATGTGTTAATGACTGCGCTGAAAGAAATCTCCGACTAATCCAGGATTTTGTTGGAAGCTCTGATGACATGAAACAGAACCTCATGCTTGTTGCCAGAGACAACAGAAAAAAACTAAAGAAAGAACTGACAAAGAAGCTCAAAAACGTAGGGCCCTGCGAAGCTTCGAAATTTCGAATCGAATTGAATCAAAAATGTGATTCGAGATACGATTCGAAAGTTTTCAAAAATCGAATCCTTACTTATTTTGTTTTTGTTGTGGGTATTTTAGATATTCTGCGCTTGGGCACAATCAAAATAATGCTACTTATCCTTAAATACTTTTTTAATTAGTCATTAAAAAGTTTACTAGCGCAAGCAGTATCAATAAATAGATTATACAATTTTATTTTATTTTATTTTGAAATATATATTATTAAATAAAAAATGCTTAGATTTAGACTTCGAAATTTTAATTCGAAACGTGATTCGAATTGCAAATCAAGACCTGCTTTAATTTGAGATTCGATTCGAAACAAAAACTGACAAACCGCAGGGCCCTTATTTAAAGTTAAAATATATATTTTTAAGAGAGTTACTAAAATACATAGTTTTTTCGTAAAAGTTGCTTTTTTCCATAAAATTGGTCCCCGGTACTGAATAGAATAAGAACATAACTTTAGATTATATCTTTGAGTTACCAAGTTATTTTCTGAGAACTTGGTGGGGTATTTATGGCTTACTTTTCTAAAATAAAGATAGAATATCGTTGGAGACAGTCCATGTTTTATTTGATACATGAACTCTATGACGAGGATATGTTGATTTTAAATACATTCAATGCATTGAGTTTACGTAGAAGTGGCTCACAAGGCACAGTTCTTTTTACTCCAAATACAATTCTACATGCATGTTTTTGTTTAGTATAAATTTTATTTAACTTAGCGTAGCTGGTGATTGCCCATACAATATTGCCGTAAGTTAGATAGCTATGTTTAAAGGAAAAATATAAAATTTTTAAAGATCTTATATCCCAAAATGGTTTTGCTTTATACATCATTGCAATTTTTATTGAAAGTTTTCTTTCAAGAGTGCTTATATGTTTCCTCCATGTTAAATTTTCGTCTAAGATAATATCTAAAAAGTTTACAGTTGTTTGTTTAGTAATATTTATATTATTGATTTTAAGATAGGGTAATTTTAAAGGAAGGTTTCCTGTTTTGGTTGGTTTGTGAGATAGAATACACTTAGTTTTGTTAACGTTAAGTGAAATAAGTCATTCATTTACTTTGTTTACTTTTTCATTAACTACTTTAAATAAGGTTTTAATATCCCTATGAGAATAAAACAGATTGGAGTCATACGCCAACAAAATAAAATTTAATATGTTCGAGGTAAGAGATAGATCATTTATATAAAAAGAAAACAGTAACGGTCCAAAGATTGAGCCTTAAGGAACTCCACATTTTATTATACTTTTTGTCGTTTTAACATTTCCATATTGAATGAATTGCTGTCTGTTTGATAAGTATTCTTTAAACCATAGTAAATTATAGTTTTTTTATTCCATAATGTTTAAGTTTTTTAAAAGAATGACATGGTTAACTGAGTCAAAGGCTTTAGACAGATCAATAAAGACTCCTAATGTAAAACGGTAATCATTAAAGGCATTGGTTAAATTGGTTACTAAGGTTAATAAATAAAATTTATTTAAATAAATTTTTTTTTATGCACTGATACTTTGTAATTATTACGCAAAACAAAAGATGTGTTTTTTTGCATGAAACTTTTTTGCATGAGTTTAATTATTTTACCATATTTGCATTATCTTTCCTTTGACAATTTGATTTAGTAAATGCATTCCCCATCTTTTGTCATACAAATAAAATTAGCTGAAGTGAGGTAAAATCATAAAACCATAAACTTTGTTTATTTCTTTCTTTATTTTAACTATTCTTTATTTATTTTAGGATTAGATTTATTATTTATTTTAGAAATAGATTTATTAATTACTTTAGGATTGTATTGAAGTTAAGTTAAATTTATATAAGAAGTATATATTTAAAAAAATGAACCGTACAAAGTTTGAAAACCCCCTTCCCCACCCTTAATTCAATGGGTCACACAATTTTTTTGTCATAATGTTTGAACGCTCAAAGATTATTGTATAAAATTTAAAATTTTTTCATGAATATGAATTAAGAATAATAAAAAATATTTTATAAACTTAGGGGTAACAATTTTTGAACTGTACATGTTCTACATGTCGAATAATATACAATAAACTTATTTCGACTTATCTCTTAGTTAACAGCTTACCCTTGTCAGTTGGAATATAATTTTTAACAAAATATGTAGGTAGTTTTTTTTTTTAAACAATAAAGTATAATTGTTTTGTAAGAAATACTTTTGTTAAATGATATTTAGATGGATTAATGTAATAAAAATTATTGATGAAATTGTATCTGCTTCCCGTAAAATAGCAAGTGAACTAACCAAATTTTTTGTTTATGCTTAATTTAATTTAGCAAGAAATATTCATTTTATACAAGAGTCGTTATTAACTAACTAGAAAATTTAAACAATTACTTATAAACGGTTGAATTGATCCATTGCAATGACATTTGAACAGCTGTTGAATATTATTTTGTAAACATAACTTTAAATTTATCGTTAAAGATGGCGAGTCCGCTCGAGAATTCTACCATGGCAGAACAACATCCTGTGGTCAGATTTTTGTCGCGAAAAATGAGAAATGTCGTAAAATCCACGATCAGTGGTTCAACAATTTGTTAACAGTGTATGGAGACAATTGTTTGAATTGTTCAAACGTTTACAAATGGGTAGAACAGCTTTAAAGTGGCGGTTCAAAAGTTTCTAACGGGTAACGTAGTCGACGACCTGTCAAAGTTGGGACTCTTGAATCTCGGATAGACGCGTTAATTCGGGAAAATAGGCGTACCACTGTTGAACGGATTAGTAAAAAAGTAAACGCAAGCGTTGGAATTGTCCATAACATTATTCACAACAAGCTACAGTACAGGAAAACCTGTGCAAGATAGGTGCTTAAACAACTCACGGACGCTCGCAAAGAAACCCAGCTTCAATTCAGTCAACAGTTGAAACATCAGTATTCAACTGAAGGAGAATATTTTTTAAAAGAATTGTTACGTGTGATATAACATTAATTTATGTAAAATTATATTTTTATATTTTGTATTGTAAATTTTATTTTCTGTAAAATTATATATAATTAATTTTCTGTAAAATTATGTATAATTCTGTAAAAAAATGCTGTTTAAGTCGTTGTAATAAAAACAGCAGCGACAAAAAATGTACTGAGATAGGGTTAAATTTTTAAAACTCGTCTTTAAAAAGTGCTATGATCAAAGAATAGCAGTAATTGAATTTTAATTAAAATAAAGGCCTTTACGTAATTCAATTTTTGTAATATAATTTACGTATTCAATTCGAATTTCAGCGCCAAATGACCGAAATGAAACCGCCTTATTTTCTCTGTCTATGACTCTTGAATTTGATTGGTGAGATTGGTTGATATTTAATTGGTCGTGGTTTGACACTGAAATGAAAAGTATTATTTTTTTAGACTGAAACTTTTAAATGAGGCGTGCCCGTAGATATCCGGAATATATTTCTATTGGACAAAAATACTTTCATTATAAATTTAAGATTTGTTTTCATTCCATCGAAACACCCGCCAAATTATAACTATCTTGTTTGCTCTGTTCGTAGCTCAGAAATGTTAGCCATTTTTTTATAAAGTGTTTTATATGTTCAGAAACTTTATTTAACATCTACTATAGTGGCTGTAAAAATAATTATTTTTAAAAAGAATATATAAAGATTTTACTTCTTTTTTTGTGGATTTTGTTTTACAAAGAAGAGAAGTTTTTTAAAAAATAAAGCCCAAATAGTAAAATTAAGAAATATATTTAATTACTTAGAAAGATATAAATAATGCTTTTTTATTTAGATCATTTAAAAAATAATAGTATTAACTTGTTAAAAAGTTTATTTGGCTCTATACTCTTTAATAAAGTGACTTTTTAGTGATTCTACTTCATGATAATAATTTTATATTTGATTTTTTTAAAATAATAGAAAGATATGAATGAAGCTGAGAAGCTGCACATAGAAAGTTTGCATGTCCTAGAAAAGTTTATGCTTTCTTCAGAAAAAAATGCAACTGCATCATCAAAAGTTTTAAATGAAATCAACACAAATACAACAAGAAACAAAAAAGAATCAGTTAATAGAGTCTTAAGCATTAGTTTACATAATAATGAAAAAGAGAATAAACATTCTTCAAGATTATCATGTAGAATGACGCCAAAAAAAGAGTGTGCTGTTGTTGAACCATCAACTCCAACAGAAAATTTAAAGATGCTTGTCAGTGCAGCTAGTGTATTACCACCAGCATCTGATCTTTCTGTTGAATCTAAAGAACAAGACAAATTAGTTGATTTAGACATAAGAGAAAACATTTTTTGTATACAAACAAGCAAGTTAAAGTTAAAAAAAAATGTTTTAGTTGGAAGAAAAGAAAAAAGTCTAGGACTGTTATGTGAAAAGTAAGTATGCATTAAAAAAATAAATGAGCTAATCTATGCGTATTATAAGTTTAATTTTTGAATTCTATTTTGGATTCTATACTGTTATAGTTTGGAAATGTAAAATTTTAAAGCTAATTAAGTTTAGCCAGAAAATATGAGACATACTTTAAGACATGCATTTTAAAGACCATTTGATAATTTTTTTTTTATCTAAGACTATACCCTAGTCTAAAGTTTCAATATGTAGACTTTGGTTACATAACCATAATTTAGAGTAAAAAAACTTTTCAAAGATTTGATTGGGGATACTTGATCCTTTGATCAAGTGTCCCCAATAAATGTGTACCGAGTGCCCACAGTTATGTTTAAGGTTTTAAAATTTTAAATATATATATATATATATATATATATATATATATATATATATATATATATATATATATATATATATATATATATATATATATATATATATATATATAAAGAATGAGAGACCTTGGTGGTAATGGCAATGTTGCTAAAACTTGCCCACAGTTTTTCAGACTTTAAATCCGCACTAAAAGAAATAAAACCGTGGGCAAGTTGTCACAGCAAAGTATTATAAGTGTGGTTATGCAGATAGATTAATTGTTTGTCGTTCCCGGTAAAGTTATGTGGGTTTTATTTGTTGCTACATTTGTTAAATTTACATCGGTAAGTATGGGAAATTTCATTTAAGTCAGGGAAAATAAAATCAAAAATTCTCTGGCCACCCTAATATATATCTATTTATTATATATATATATATATATATATATATATATATATATATATATATATATATATATATATATATATATATATATATATATATATATATATATATATATATATATATATATATATATATATATATATATGTATATATATACATATATATATAAATATATATATAAATATATATATATATATATATATATATATATATATATATATATATATATATATACACTTACTAAAGCGTATTTTTATAAGCTTTTGCTCACTTTTTTTTCTTACCTTAACCCATATGGCTTTTTAAAAAAATAAATAAAGAATGATGAATGAAATGATTGCTGCCCCATCCCAAACCCTCAGTTGATGTAGCAGCACTCTACTGCGAGTCAGGCTATTTATCAGTCGATGTATGTACTGAAGCCCCCAGCAGCAGGCTTTTCAGTATGACTTCAGATTACTTACTTTAGTACACAATACTATTTGTATATATATATATATATATATATATATATATATATATATATATATATATATATCAGGGTGTATAAGTTATAAGTTGGAAAAAAAGGAAGTGATGTTTGAGTATACATTCTATTATTTGCTTTTAAAGTTGAACATCAGTTGTTTGGATTGTCTTATTTAAAAAAGAAAATGACATTATAGAATGTCATTTTCTTTTTTAAATAAGACATAATGCAAGAGTTAAAGTATTTTTTTAAAGAGAACTACTCTAAATTAAGTAGAGCTTAATGATTTCCCAAAACAGCTATTGATTGCTATAATTTTTTTTTATTATTATCAACAAATCTTATTTGTATACACAACTAACAGAGTTAACTCAATTCTTTCAGTTTTAACTAAAAAAATAGAATTCTGTTCTAACTCTAAAGCCTGTTAATTTCTCAACAATCTTATTTTATCCCATCAGCAAAAAATTAAAAAAGCAAAATTTAAAATTTCTCTTTTCATTTTTATTTTTCCTGTTTTCACCTACCGAAGGCCACTGAAGATAAAAGTTGTGTTATTAGAGTTAAAAAAATTTATTTCTAAAGTACAAATTTAGATATTTTTTAATATAAAATTTTATTTAATGTACAACAATTAAAAAATTTTTTTATTACAAACTTTTCAGGTTTATGTCTTTCTATCCTGAATATTCAGAAAATGGAACAACAATTTTACTTGATGACGTAGTAAAGATTTTAGGTAATTTATATTTAAAAGATTAAAGTTGTATATTTATTTACAAGAACATGTAAAAAATGTTCTAGGGCAAAACAAAACATTAAAGTCATTCTGAAATAAAGGCAGGGGAGGACAAGTGTATGTATGTTGACTGCTGTGCTAAGGTGTTGCCAAATAAATGTATGTTTATTTTAAAAAATTAAAACTGTTTTGAATATTATTGTTTTGCTGCCATTTTCTTTCATATATATATATATATATATATATATATATATATATATATATATATATATATATTTATATGTATATATATGTATGTATGTATATATTAAAAAAATATATATAATATAAATATTAGATTACAAAACAAAAGACAAAAAGCTGTAATGATTTATAATTTTTACTTTGTACATTGTATCTTTATTTACTTTAACTACCCAATGTATGCAGTACAATGATATATTATTTAACTAGATGTCTAGCTTGCGGGATTTTATTGAACAAAAAGTGAAGCCGCTTTTTTTTTTTGTTTATAACAATAGTTCGTCATTTGTAAAAAAGGGCAAAAGCTGAAGCCGAAGTGTGGAATAAAAGTTAAAAATGCAAGTCAAAAGTTCCTAATAATTTGAAGATAATTTAAAAGCAATTTTTAATAATTATAAAATACTTATAAATATTTTTTTATGAACCTATGTTTTATTATAAAGTATTTTAATTCAAAAAAATGCTTCAAAAGCGTCTGTCGTTTTACTTTTCTATTCAAAATTTTAATCCCTTTTAATCAAAAATAAATTAAGGAATCATAAATTATTATTTTACAAGTATGATAATTTTTTGCTTAACACTTACGTAAATAGTATTTAAATTTAAAATATATTTGCTTTGTTCAAAAAAAAAAAAGTTAAAAATATTTATTTACAAATTTAATCTGCCATTTGTAAAAGGGGCAAAAAGCAGCTTCACTTTTCAGATCAAAGTTAGACATCTAGTTATATAATATATCATTGATGTCTGATACTCCAACAAAATCATAAGTCTAATACTCCAACAAAATAAACAATATTTGAACTCATGAGTCTTAATGAAGTATGCTTTAGTGTGCTGTGTGTGCTAGTGTATAGCTGCAATAAATTATTTTTATATGAGTAAACGCAAATTAGATATTAGATATTACATTTAAAATGAGTATTTTTAAGATTTGATAAACAGGTTAATGCTTGAAAAGCAGTTGGTTGAAAAAATTTCTTTAACTTCCCTACAATGTCATATTTGAAAAAAAAAATTCCACCATAGAACCTATTGTTACACACATCTGTACAAGTACACATGTGTGTAACAATGGGTGCTTTTGTCAATATAGGTCAACAATATTGGGATAGTGGTTTTGTCAATATAATAATGTCAACAATATTGGGATAGTGGTTTGCAGTAAACAACTGAGGTTTGAGTTAAAATCCACTGTGCCATCAGTGCCCCATGCTGTTACAGAAAGTAGATCAGAACTACTGCTTGTTCTAAGCCTTCAAAAAGCGAAGTCTTTTTGTCAAAACAAGCTTATAAAATTTAGAGCCACTTAGATAAGAAGTAGATAAGCAACAATACAGGAGCAAAGATGGAACTTTGCAGTATTCCTAAAAATACTGGAAACGAAGAAGAGTGTAAGCCTTCAAAACTTAAATACTGTAGTTATGAGAAATAATTTAATAATTTTAAAAATTATTATACGAAGAAACTAATACTAGATAAAAGACTAATTGTAGGATAGTTAGAGAGGTCAGTGTTTTCTAGAGTTTTTAAATATTAGAACCACCTATTTAGCATTTAATAATTGTTTAGTGATGTTTAGGTAGGAAGTCTATTTTGCTTATGTATGCATAAATGCACCTCTTACCTAACCTCCTGGATCCAAGAAGATACAGAAGCTTTTATTCCTTCTTATTGGTTTATATATATATATATATATATATATATATATATATATATATATATATATATATATATATATATATATATATATATATATATATATATATATATATATATGTTTGCTAGTTATTTAGATGTTGGCAATATCTTTACATATTTGTATAAGCTTTAGTATTTATATTTCTTTTCTGATTTATTTGCATTTAAAAATAAGAAATACAAAAAAGTGATACAGGTAATAACAAAATTTCTAAATTACATTAAATGTAACACCGAAAAAAAGAAAAAAAAAAAGTTAAAATAGTGTGCGATGGTGATGAACATTGTACTTTTTTAAACTTGATGTAAACAACGACAAAGTGGACAAGTAAACAATATAATCAGGTAGAGAATTTCATATCTTGATAATTCTTTCACAGTAGAAAAATCTTTGTGTAACGTTTTTTCATTTAATATGTGAATAAAGTTTTTATGCATGACATCTTGTAGGGTAGTAAAAAGGAGCAAATATAAAAAACTCAGAAAAAGTAGATCAACAAGGTTGATTATAATTTTATAGGTCATTACAAGATCAAATTTTATTCTAGATTAAAGATATTGAGTCTTGAAGAATAATCTTTATAAGGAATACACCATCTTTAACAGACAATTCTAGTAAAGGATTTCTAAACCTTTTTTAACTGATGTATATCTTTTAAAAGGTGGAGGTTCCACACAGAAGTACAAGATTCTATGTTAGGTTGAATATAAACTTTATAGGCTTTAATTAGAAGCTTGAAATCATTACTGATGAAGGATTTTAAAAGTGAGTAGGAAAGAAAATGTGCCTTGCTTGCAATAAAAGAACAGTGATATGAAAATATCTGTAGATACAACACGGCTGTTTCAAACCGAGCTTAACGGCTTCTTGTTAATTTTTGAAAATATTGACTAAAGGGGTGTTACTAAAACTTTTATAACTTTTGAAATATAAGAGGTAATTTTGTTTTGTAAAAACAATTAAGACATCAATAAAATGTTTTACCTTATGACATTTAATGCATTAGTAGAAAAACTTCTTTTAGTTTAGAATAAATATGACATATATTGAATTTGGCTTAATTTTTGTAATTTGATGTTACTTTTTATCAAAAAAAAATTAGAAAAATATATTCCTAATAGTTATTATCAAATACACTAATTGTTTGACAATAATGAAAACAAAAAAACCTTACTTAATTATTTAAGGTTAACTAAAACAGCCTTAATCGAATTGTGAAAGCAAACCACATTTTTCGCAAAATTATGAAAAACGTTGTTATAAGGGGGGATTAGTTGTTAAATGAGTACTTTTTTTAATATAGAAGTTCTTGATTTAGAAAATTATTTTGGAACGCTGATAAAATCATTACATTACAAAATAAAGTTCTAATAATATGGTGTTAGGTAGTTAATAAATAAAAACTCATCAATTCTAATAAAATAATTCATGACCAAAATTGAGTTAAAGGTTTTGTATTAACCTAGCTTTTGGTAGTAGAATTATTTTATGGTACTTATATCAATAATCTCTTCTCACAAAAAATAAAGTGTTTAAATATACACAAATAGCTGATTTAAATCTTTTGATAATTCGTTTTTATTTTCATTAAAAACTGTTTTATAATTAGTTGGTCCATTGATAAGTTCTTCAAGCAGTAAACTATCTTTGAACACCCAGATGATACTAGACTCATACATAATTCATTTAAAACCAGAAGAACATTTGGTCAACTTGGCAATTGTGATAATAAAGTTTACAACTTCTTAATTTATCAAGCTAAATTTTTACACCAACTTGATAAATGAGACTTATATTCCATTCTTTAACCAGAGAGGAGGTATGTAGAGCAGAGGTCCTGCGAAGGTAGAACTAACTTTTGATGATAAAAATTGAACGGAGATCTAATATATATAAAAAATGTTACATATTACATAACAAAGGATAAAACGTTTTTTGAATTAACTACATAAACATACAAAATCATATTTAACAAACATACCAGTTGCTCTGATCACAAATTAAAATAGTTAGCTATACATTTGATGCTAGACTTTTATTCCATTCTTTAACCTGAGCAAAGGCATTGCATAGATATAATAAACTTTTGAAAATAGGAACAGAATGGGCATCTACCTAATATATAAAATCATTGTAATAAAAAATTATTATTATTTTGAACAAACATTACAGGCATTAAAACAGAATAGAATTCTCTTATTTGTAAATTAAGGATCTTATATAATTTATCTTAGATGTAAAAAGTTTAATTTTTTTTTTAACTTTTCAAACATTTAAACTAAATTTGATGACCACAAACAAAACAAAGACCTTGTCTATAAAATGAATTTTCGCCACGTTCTGAACACACAACACACTTTCTTACCTTAGAGGCTTGAAGCTTCCTATCAGCTTTGCTGTGCAATTCAAAGCGTTTTAAAACAAGATGCAGCTTTTGCTCCTGATTTCTAACTGAATGCAACTGCCTTAATTCCTTATTTACGCTATTATGCAAACACTCTCCCTCCTCTTCACTCAGCAACCCAATAGTTTTATGCAATTTTACAAATAGTGGCACATTGAAAATGAGTTCATGCATTTTTCGCGTGATACTTTCTTTTGGAAAGCAAGCATGAAACTCAATAGCAAATAAATTTATATATTGATGAAGCTCAGAAATTTCGGCATCAGAAAGAAATTTTCGCTTAAAAAGAATAGGTTGCAAGTTATTAAAAACACTAAACACACGTACAAATCTATTTTTAATTGCTTCATCATCAATAACACTACAAAGTTTATAGTGGTTTCTTAATTGAATTATGAAACTTACCTAGAGCTCTTAGGTTTCCACCTTGTCTATCTTCACACAAGTTCTCATTGTAAGCACTTTCCAGAGATTGTATTGTCCTCCTTAAGATGTTACAATTAGCAGGTATGTGAGGCATAGAAGCATGGTTTCTTAGAGAATTCAACTGAACTAGGTCTGTAGAACTAGGAAAGCTAGCAGCTGAACCCTGGTGTCCCAGAACATCATCGATAAAATGAAAATCTCCACCTAAGAACAACCTGACTATTTTGCCTTTTAGCTTAAAATCTGACGACTGAATTCTTTTAATGTCGTTGGCATAATGCCCGAGAACTAAGGCAATATTCTCACGACAGTCTGAACCCTGATACATACAAAATAAATGAACATCATATACAGACCCTGATGATTTAGAATTGACAACTTCAAAATGGAATTTCATATACTTCCCACCCTTATCCCCAGCAAAAAGGAGCCATACCTCTTCGCAAAAACCGACATCAGAATTGAAGTGGTCACGAACGTGCAGACTATTGAAAACCTCTTCAATATAAGTTATCAAATTCTTGACCATCAATACAGGAACTAAACAAGATGCTTAATTCGCAGATGGATAAAGCAACATGGACTTTACAGTAACATGTTCTTTACTAACATGCATTGTCCGCATTTCTTGTTCTTGTCTTATCTTGGGCTCAGATGGGAGAATCCTTGCACCAAGATTACACAGAATATGTCTTAGCCTACGGAATTTAGCCGTGGGCATCCTTAATTGGCTCTGCAGCTCTACAGCATCAGAAACACTTAACTGCCTAACTAAACCCAACTTATTTGCAACACAATGAAACATAGACTTTTCACAAGACACAGAATCACAAAACAACATAGACAAATCACTTTCCAAATCTGAACAAGCTAATAATCGAAGTAATATAAAAACAAGTTTAGATCGTCTAGCTGCAGCATGCCTACCTAACTTAGAATAAGATTTACCATCTCCTAACTTAATGTAAGTATATTTCTTACCAACTATTGTATATTTCTTACCAACTATTGGCTTTTTAACTGATATAGTCTGTGGATTACTTAATTTAAACCCACAGAATAATTCAGAGGAGCCAATGTTGTCATAGTCTAAATAAGAATCAACGACAACTAAATCCTTATCACTGCTAGCAAAATATTTGCAAATTTGGCAACTGTTCTTGTTTATATCACTGATTTTTGCATATTTTTTTTTCAAATTTAAATTTTTTTAGCAATCTTACATTTTTGGCACGAGCAGATGCAAATTTACGGTGTGCTGTTTTTAATTTTTTTTTTTTTTTTAAAGTTGGAACTGCTCCTCCTGTTTTAGCCTAATACTCATAGTCTCTAATTGAAAACTTAATGAGTTACAATGTGCGTTGAGAGCCTTGTTTTTAGAATTTAAATATATAACTTCAGTTTCCAACTTTGATACCTGTATTTTTAAATTATCTATTTGCTCCACATTATGTTTTTCTTTAGAAATTAATTGTTCAACTTGACTACTTAGTTCCTTATTCCTATTTAAAATATAAAAATTATCTGCATCTGCTGATTTTTTTTGTTTTTTTGTTTGTGGAGCTGGAGACAGTTGCATTTTAAAAAATGCTTCGTTTTTTGAAGCTTCAAAATACTTTTTAGAATCTTTTTTTCTTTGTTTTATTTTTCGGCACATTTTATTTAACACATCAATATTAGGCATATTAAATTCAATTGGCAAAAGAAAACTTAAAAAAGTAAACAACGCTTTTGGATGAAAAACTGTTAATAAAATTGAAATCACATTGTTAGTGATCTTACTAGTGTCAATTACTCGCTTTACAAAATTAAAGTTATACTCATTTTCCCAACCATCTTCCCAACCGATGTACAGTTTCAAAATTTCCCTCTTAGTTGCATACATCACATAAATAATGATAATGATATTATAATAATAATATAATAAAAGAAAATAAATAAAATAATATTTACAAATAAATACACTAAAAATAAAAGAATTTAGCAACTTATCTGAGATTAGTCGAATATCCACGAGGAAATAATCCACGAAACTTTGCTTTATAATCTTTATTGATATAGTAATAAAATTGTAATACAAACAACTTAAATAGAATAATATTGACAAATAGATGCACTAGATAAAATCGGATTGATCAACTTATCTGAAATTAGTCAAATATCCAAGAGAAATTAATCCGCGAAACTTTGTTATTTATTCTATAAAATGTGTCTCGTTTATTTTGTTTGTTTTCTTAAAATGCATCCGATAATCGTTGGGGACGTAACGATCAGAGTTTGCGTCACCGCTTTAAAATGTAAACAAGAATTTATGCAAAAAAAACTAAAAAAAATGTCGCTAAACATGCCAAGTTTGAAAACATATTTGATAACATAGCTAGAGGTACAGAAAATAATTTTTTGATTTTCTTATTCATATAAGGTTGAAGTATTACTAAATCCACAGACTTTTCAAAAATGTCATGTTTTTTATTCAAAACGAATAAAAACAAAAATATAAATGCATTAAAAACTAACTTTCTATATAAAAACTTGCAAAGTCTGTGGAAATCTAGATAGAACAGACATTCATTAATAACTGTTCTAAATTTTAACCATCGACCATGTAGCTATGTTATCAAATCTTAGTTGGCCTAAGACAGGTTTTGCGTAAAAATCGCAAAAATCAGAAAAGTGATGCCAAATTATTAACAATATTTTTACAGCTTTCATTTTTATTCCGTTTAATGTAAATGTTTATTTAACAAGGAAAGATAGATCTTTTATATTTTTTTTATTTGAAGATGAAAGCATTTATAGAAAAAAAATACTATTATTTTAAAGTTAATGAATTTTTATACTTTTTATGCGGAAATACTTTTTTTTTTGATAAACTCGTGACGTCAGGCTCGCTTTTATATTGAGTGAAACAGCCGTGACAACTATATTCATCTTGAATTGAATTAGTAGATTCAATAGGTGTACCAATAATCATTGAGTATGAATTTAATGGTAAAGAACTGTTTCCATAGTGTAGATAGAAACATTTTTTGATTGCTATATTAATTTGCCAAACTTTTAAGCATTCTGAAAAAATTGATAAGGTGTGCGTTGTTTTGTGTGTGGTATTGATGAGGTGTGTGTTGTTTTCATAATTGCTTGCTTGATATATTTTGCTGACATCAGCAAACAACTTAATTCTGCAATCACCATCAATACATAAAGTTACATCATTTATATATATTATTCCACTCTTTACAAGAATTTTGTTTGAATACAAGTTACCAACGCAGACACATTGAGAATAATTTGTTAAAAAATTGGTAATCCAGTTTAGCTATTCATACTGGATACAATGCAGTTTAAACAGTAACTTAGAGTGAGTCACAGAGTCAAAGGCTTTCTATATATACAATATCAAATATCTTTTTTTTTTTTATTGGCAGCAGTGGTAGCAGAGGACTGCTATCAGTATGGTGTTATTTTTCAGTGGTCCACTCATTTAAGTTGTCTACATCTGTTTACAGGTGGATGTACACTTTAAAAAAATTAATGAGTGGTTATAAGGTAAATAATTTGTTAATAGTCAATCGTTGCATTCTGCTATATATACATAACTTTACAATCAATGCACCTCGTAGAAATAGGCCTATATATAGTTTGTGGTTAATGATGGGTTTCCTTTCTTATAGATGTGGCACGCTATAGCAGTTTTCCAGATTAAAGGTATGACATTTTTTGACAATTTGATAATTCAGACAATATGGAAAGAGGAATAGCAATGTCATTTGCAATTGATTCTAGAAGTATTGCTGGGTATCCATATGGTGATTTGGAGGACTTTGATGGAAGACTTAGTAGGGATAAAACTACAGAGCTGTATGAAAACATCACATTATTTAAAGAGTTTGAGTGTGTTGGCAAGTCTAAGACAGGTGCATCCCATTATCTGTAACAAAACAGAACTAAAAAAATTAATGTGATTTTTCATAATCATCTGTTCTAAAAGAAATATCTGTTTGTAATAGTGGTGCAACAAAACTATAGCATTTTTTTTTTGTTTGTTTTTGCCTTTACAAAAGAATAAAACTGGGCAATATTAGCTTTATCAACTAAATTTTTCTTTATAAAAATACAATATTTTCAGTTCTTTTGCATTCTCTAAAGAGAATGTTTTTTTTGGAGGCTAATTTCCGAAAAGCTAGAATTTTAAGTCATTTTTTCAATTGCAATGTAGTAAAACATGTGCGCAAAAAAATATTTACCAATAATTTTCCAGCAATTTTTACCAATGCTTGCCAAGCAAAATCAACATCTTGATTTTGCTTGGCAAGCATATACCAGTTTATATTTTGTAAATCTGATTGTATAGCATTGTAATCACCTTTGTAAAAATTGTATTTAGTTGATTTTTTAATTGATTTAGACTTCTCCAAATTACAATCAAAAACAATCGTACCTTGCAAGTGCTTGTAAATGGAGCAATAGCTTTTACATTAAAAACATTTTTTGAGTTGTTGGTTAGTATTAGATCTAGGAGGTTATTTATTTTAACTTGCACAAAGTTTTGGTTCTTAAAATACTGGTGGCAGCACATGGAGGGTGATAAACACATAAAAGTCAGATCAATTGATGAGACAAAATAGGTCAGACAAAAAGGAGCCATAGTTTTAAACATTTAACAACATGTCGAGAGGTAGAAGTAAAAAAACTGGGAAAGAGCGCATTATATATGGTATGAATGTTAAGGAACAAAAATGCTCAAGATTTTTTATATTAGAGAAACAGGAAGGCTTAAGCTTGATGATGACCATCATGATCATGATGATGTTTATATATAAATATAAATACATATATGTATAAAATAGAACATGAATTTCGAATTAAAATAATATACTTTAGAATGTATCAATATTTATGCAGCTTCGGTCACAAACCTGGCCCCAGCTATTTTTTATTAAGCCTGGTCCCCATCAAGTTTCAACCCTGGTCACTTACTAATTCTAGATAGGATTTTCCATACAAGGAGCAAAAAGAAAAGTTTTATACATATGCGGACATGCACATTCTTATATATGCGCACACACATGCATCTGTGATGTTTGATAAGTATGATTATAATATTAGATCATTAATTTTGTTATATTTTAATAAACATTTTTTTAATTTCAAGGTATTGGCCGTAGAAGAGTTTACGATATTGTAAATGTTCTAGAAAGTATGGAGATGATGGTTCGTCAAGCAAAAAACAAATATTTATGGTTTGGAAAAAGTAGGTTGAATTCAACACTTGCAAAACTCAAGGTATAATTTGTTGTGTCTAATGAAGTTACTATGAAACTGAAAGGTCAATTGATTTTATCTTTTACACATAAATGTTTTTTTATTGTCTTAAATTTGACCTGAGATTTAAAAAATGTTTAGAATAATAGTTTTGATTATAGACTCTTGCGGTTCATATGTATGGAAAAGATTTCCACTCTCAATATAATAAAAAAGATAGTGAAAATAGAAGTGGAAAAGTATGTCACCTTACTGTTATATTTTTCTATTTAAATAGTTTGGTTTCATAATATTTTTCACATAGTTCTACCTAATCTTCATTAAAGTGGATGTTAACCAACATTTTTTTAAAGTTTCGTTTTACATTAAAAAAGTCAGAACTTTTTTTTAAAATGAAAAATGATTATGTCAAGTTTTCGAGATGAATTTTACTGTTTGAGACTCTACTTAAAGTCTTTGTTGATTTGGTTTCCATGGCTACAGTACCCAATGCAGTCAATAATTTTTTATAATTCTTATGTAAGTTATTCAGAATAGAGTTCTTTTATATTTCTGATACATAGTTTCAATTACTTGAAAGGTTTTAATGGTTTAGCATTGACTTTAGCAGAAATTTAGTTTTTTTTTATTTTCATTTTTGGTTAACATCCACCTTAAAGAACTTTATGTTCAAATAACTTAAATTTTTATACAAATAGTATATTATAATTTTATAATATATCTCTAATATAATATTATATTATATTAGAGATATATATTATAAAATTATAATAATAGGAAATAAATATTAACAAATATTTATTTCCTACTATTGCTCCCCTCTTAATATTCAATTATCCCAATACAGTTGTGTGTTTTTTACAGGAAGCTCCTCAAACCAAATAAAAAATATGGTTTGGATCCAGTTTCAGTACACGATTCTAAACTTTATTGTGTATGGAAAAAAAATAATTGAAAAAACACCTTTATTTGGCGTAAAACAGTTTTCAATGTGATGGTTGCCATGGTTTAATTTCAATAATCACGCTAAATTGAGGAATTGTCTTTGGCAACATAAGATACATACTGTCTTTGATATCTAGCCAGTTATGATTTTTAGTTTTTATTGACACTAATGAAAGGTACATAGTAGTAAATAGAATTAATATAAACCAAACCAAGATAAACATCCTTTGCATGAAATTCATCTCACAATTCTGCTTTGGATCTCATATCAAATCATTTTTAATAAGATCTTCATCATAGATGTACTTCATGGTCAGATTTTGTGACAAAGTTTCTTAAACAGCCGATGGTTCAAAGTTCTTGCTCTTATGAAGATGATTATTTTGATACATGTGGTCATAACTTCTTTCAAGAAAGTTTGGTCATAACTTCTTTCAAGAAAGTTTGGTCATAACTTCTTTCAAGAAAATTTGTGATGCTAAAGCATGTCAGTATAAGAAGCAAATAAGAAATTGTAACATTAGAAACCATTTTCTTGACCAATGCTGCAAAACCAAAAGTGTTTCCAAGCATCGCAGGTGCTCCGTCTGTACACAAACTGCCTAGCTTATTCTTCTAATCAATGTTATGTTTTGCAAGAAAACTTTCTATCATACTAAAAATATCTGTTGCTTTTGTAGTTCCCAAAAATGTGTGTTTTACTACGTTTAGTAAACAAGGCTTTAAAAGAGTTTCTGCAATAGTGTGGTGCTTTTTTTGTAGGGTAATGCAATATTCAGATTTGTATGATACTTCAAAATATATTTTTTGTGTTGGAGTAAAACCTAGTTTGGGTAAAGCGCCATCTTTCGCAAATTGAGCTTTTTGGCACAAAAACATCAAAATTATTGTTTAAAATTTTCAATTAAAGATGATATTTTTGCTTGCTACATACTGCCATTAACAAGCACTTTAAAACTCCACACCGTAAATTAACCACGGACCACAGATTAAGAAACCCTGCCCTTATATATATATATATATATATATATATATATATATATATATATATATATATATATATATATATATATATATATATATATATATATATATATATATATATATATATATATATATATATGTATATATATATTTATATATTTATATATTTATATATATATATATATATATATATATATATATATATATATATATATATATATATGTATATATATATATATATATATATATATATATATATATATATATATATATATATATATATATACACATATATATATGTTTACAAATTTTTTGTTTTAGTTTCTTGTTCATATTCAACCAAAAGGTTATAATAAACTAAATGTTTCCCATTGTAAAAAAAAAGAT